AGAGATGACCTTCGAATGATCTCATTCGGCTTTCTGATCTCATACACCACCCACCTCACCTCAACGTATTTTATTTGTTCTTGGTCTATTTTTTGCACGACAAATGATTATTATTTACTTGTCTAATCCTCCACTAATATTTCTTCGAACGAACAACAAACAGGAAATGCAACACGACAAAAAAAAGAATTCATTACGTAAACATACAATTTGATCACGTCAATTAACTCGCAGCCCAAAATGTTGCATTGCATCAAACAATCGCCAGAATGAATTCCTTGTTATTTTGAGATTTGATTACATCAGAGAATAACTCTAAAAAATGCGTTGAAGCTTGAAGAAATTGAACAAAACCTAATTTAGGGATTGTCTAATTGTCAAGGTATTATATCAACAGTCTCATTTATTGCCAACAACAACAACAACAAGTTTTATTGTAATTAACAATAAAAACAACAATAATCAATAAACTCTGAATCAATACAACAAAAAATGACAACTTAACTGCGGTAAAATATAATTTTTAATGAACGACACAAATTTTCATCATTAGTTTCAGTATGAGAAATAAGCAAGATAAACACACCAGCAACACTCAACAAGATACCAATCAAACGACATCACATCATTCATATCCATCGAATATCAAACAAACAGTGCATCAATCGAATCAACTAAACTAATTCAATTCGAAGACAGAATCAAGCATATTTTCGATATGAAGACTGCTAAATGGACACAGCATAAGGATACCATATCACAAAGATCATATTTTGATTGATACAGGCATGATGGATTAATGTAATACCAAGACACACTCAAAAGTGACGTTCAAAACCGCAGTGAAAACTAGACGCTTCGTCAGCTGAACGGAAGTGAACAAGCGCAATGAGATGTGATAATTCATTTACAGTTCCATTCGTTCATCATTGACAACGCTTTTATCAGAATTTATCAGTGCATTATAGGTCCATTTGGGGAAAACTCTCTTATACAGATTCATCAACACCGTCTCCATTGCATTCAGCTGCTGATCGAATGTGCATTTCATATGGCCATGAGTCCCTTAATTATTCAATTTATGTTAATGCTCGTAACGGACATCAATAACCGTATCATTGAATGATCAACCGAAAAGAAACAATCAAATCAAGTAAATTTTAAATGCGATCACTAGTTCTCCGAATTTGTGACTAATGACGAAGTAACCTCTGGATGATGTAAAAACAAAAGTAACACTCAACGGACAACTTACCGACAGCCTCACGAATATGTCCTCGTCGGCCTCGCGGTGTATACAATTCCACCGGTTTGAACCATTCAATATCTTCTGAAATAAATATGCTGCACCGTAGAGAAAACAACAGTGATGAGCAGAATTACCATTTAATATTTCACGTCGATTGAATGATTGGCTCGGACCATTTTTAGGTCATAATGATGGTAATAAACGAAAGAAAGAGCAATTCGATGGGGGATTCGAAACCGGATCTCTGGCACACAGGGAAGGTTAAGATCACCTGTCAAATACGCAAAAAGCTGAGACTTCAAATGACCCTTTCAGTAGTTGAACATTAGCAATGTGATGAACGACAGTAAAAGATAAGCAATACCTCTGTTGAAGAACATGTAACGAACGACAGCATGACGTCTCAATATTTTGAATGGATGTCCTGACAGAACGACTCTCTTAAGAATAATTCTATCCGGATTGATATTCAAAACACCACCCGACGCAACAAATTGCTTTGTGTCTTCACGGAACACAAGCACTGGAGCGGGTGGATACATTATCGGTGCTATGAAAGATGCTACAAAAGCACCGTGTGATGGCATGAAACGTTCCATCTGGAATTCATTAATCATTTCATCAGTCAACATCAAATCGTACATTCGTGATTCCTTTCGGATACGGTTACACCGACAGCGATCTCAGGAAGGCAGTTTGCAAATGCTCGACTGCTCCTTGATTTCGGTAATGAATGGAAACATTAATAATAACCTTGAATTTATCGCCATTTGTATGCTGTGAAAAGATCGGTTTTACTTCAAATCGACGATAACCAATATGGAATATCAATTTTTGTTTATTCAGAATAGGATGTTTGCATGAGGGATGCTTCTTTAAGACCACATTCATAACGGACATCTGCTGTTCGTGTGGTAACAAAGCATACATTATCAATACACTGCTCTTCTTCTTTTGTTCTTCTGCAATCAACTTCACCGTTTTCGAACTGTTCTAAAAATGAACACATAGTAATGATAACATGACAACATACCGATCAACCGCAAAGGCACGTTACTGATGAACAACTGAGCATAAGCACCATGCTGCACACAGTAGTTATCATCCTCAATCTCTGATAATGCCAATTTCTTTGAATGACGATAGTCAGCGAACTTAAATATTCTTGCATACGTCGACGGTAAATTCTCGGCTGGATCCCAAGGAGACGTTCTGAAATTATTGAAAATAATATTCACTGTCCACCATTAGCGCTGAAAATAAAATGAACCTGAAGCTCTTGAGACCGCGATATTTCTGAAAACGAATTCTGGCCGGTGCATCGACAGGGGTGTCAATTTCGTCTGGAAATTGGACATTCTCGCGTTCTTTCCGATATTTTTCAACCGCGTCCATATCAATCTCTTTATCTTCCGCAGTCTCCATCAGATTTGCATCCACTTCGTCTGCTATCGACGCCTACAACCGTTATATCACTACATCACTAAAATCGCTATCGTTCATCACGTTACTATCGCCATTCCGTTCTACAATCATTATCATCGCTTTATATCGCATTTCAATGAGTGAATTATGATTATCACTCGTTTTTATGTTGATATACTTTTATACATTACTCTTTCATTGTAAATCTAGTGCTCGAGGATCAAGAGGCAGGATCAAGATCTTCTGAACAGTATATCAATTTATTTTACTTATCTCCCATCGTTTCGAGCACGGTTATCGCAGTTTCTTTATACTATGAATGGGTCAGGAGCGACATCAAACCGCGGTGTGTCTGAGGGCGTACGGCCAGGATCCGAGACGGTGGCAACTTCACGGATCCTTGGCGATCAGTTCAGGAACAAATTTCTTTCGTAAACCGAGTTATAATACATTTTTGATGAAATTGTTTCGAGGTATATTGGATCAAAGGGAAAATTTTCACAGCATAAAACTTGTCAAGAATACATTTATGGAAGAATGAGGCAATTAATTATAAATGAAAATTGCTCAATGAAACGAAAAAGATTTCGGTGGCAAAGTGGATGAGATGAGATGCGTACCGTTTCAGCGATGTCATTTTCATTGCTTGACAGTTGTTCATCGTTTGCATCTTCAATCATAGTCTCATGCTCTTCTTCGTCTGAGGTACAATCGGACTTGAATGAATATTATACAGTTAGTTATCTCATTTAATCGATCACCAATTTGATTCATTGCTCTTCACAAAAGACTAATGACAAATCACCAATTTTTGACGCGTTTCAACAATAGCCTAACACATAAAGGAATGGCTGTCATTGGTTAATAAAGAAATAACCTCTCGAGCATCATCACATTTCGAGTCGCCCTCACCACTTTCATTATCACTGATTTCATCATCATCATCCAAAATCCATTCTGCTTGATAAGCAGATGTTCCGGCAGGCACTTTTTTCGTTGTTTTGTTGGGTTCAACTCAAATTATTTTACAGTGTTCATCATTCACAACAACTAATTATGAGGTGAATGTTTCCGAATATTATTCGCATTTAATGTCATAATCAAAAATAACTTACAGACATCTTTCGGGAGTTTGAATTCGTGTGACCACGCTTGTTCATCGACATTCATAGGATCTGGTATGATTTCAGACTGTAATGAGGCCTGTTTCGATGGATCTGGTTTTATCGATCTTCTCGGTATTTCTTCTTCGATACTGCCATCACTGCTGACACCTTTCTGCTGAATCATTCATGACCCGTATTTATTGTTATTACTGTTATTCTCGCGAAAAACAATCCAATTTTTAAAATACCCACTTATACACTTCAAGAGTGTTTATGTGCACAGCCATAAAAGATAAGCAAACATGAATGTCACCTTTTTGTTCGCATGGAGAGGATACGGATCACTGAGAACATCGACTTGCTTCAATTGGAAATCGCCCCATTCCGGTATATGCACTAGGCGGTTGACATTGAGCGATGGTCCGCGTATATAACCAGTGATTTTCAATGTGCAATGATCACCCTTGAATTGATTCATTAGCGAATAAATTCTTTACTCATAACTCTTTGCAAAAGCAGCTATATGAACATGAATTCTTCTCCCTCCATACAGCAACAATACACAAAAACCTGTTGAGTGTTAAAGCAATCAATTTGCAACATTGCACATCAAACGAAAACAATACACTGAAATGAAATGCGCAATAGTAACAATAACCAACAACGACATCAACAGGCTCAGCATCCTCCACAAGAATATGCGCTCTTCTTTTCTGAATGACCATTGCTTTCTTCTTGATGTTACTCATCAATCGCAATGCTAATAAGCCATCACTATCATTATCACATCCCAATAACTTTGCTTCTCCAAAGCTCCTTAATTAATATTAACTTAACATTCTTGCTCTATCAATTTCATATTATTAATGATCTGTACTGATAACTATGCGGCGCAATGTCGCGTGGGTCTGCAACAAACATCGAAGACAAAAACTTTGATGAGTCAGACTGAATATGGCTAATGAAGATTATGAAATATATTCCATTACGTTAAATCACCAATAAAATATCACCGAAACACTGAGAATAATAAAAGTTTGATCAAATGAGAATATTTTATTACGTTACAGCGAATGATAATGGTGAAGCGATTATATGCAACGAACAAACCATTTAGTGATGAGTTTTTCAACACATTTTCTAGCCGAATCTTTACTTTTGGGTGTTGTTAAATTATTGAGAGCAGGTACGAAATGTAGAGAAGTTGGTAAACCATGACTCAATAAGCAACTTATTAATAAATCTTCTTCACTTGTTATTTCACCATTCAAAGGCCATATGAATGCAATCAGATCTGATACTTTAATCATATCCAATATTTCGTTTACATTCTTGCCATTTGCCGATAAAAACATAAAACGACTCTTGAAACGCGACACTCTTAAATTTACTATTATTAGATATTATTTCAACGTGGCATTTATATTATTTCAACCGCTTCTCACATTTCATCATTCACATAATTGAGAAATCAATGANCTCTTGAAACGCGACACTCTTAAATTTACTATTATTAGATATTATTTCAACCGCTTCTCACATTTCATCATTCACATAATAGAGAAATCAATGAATTGAGAGAAACTGTTTTGATAAGATTTTGTTTTCTGAATCAGATACATCTGAAAAAATGCTCGGACAAGAAATGCTGGAATATGAATCGTGCTGTCAGAGTGTACGCTACTCGCAGCCTGATTCGAAGAAATATATCAAGAAGAAATCTGCATACGTTCAAATAATAAACGCTTGTACATTTCATTCAAGGAACAATGAACATTCAAATGACTATTTCTTTAAACAAAAATCCGTCAGTTCATTCAATATGTTCTCGCTGAATGGAATGAATAAAATGAAAACTTAATCAGAATAACTAACGAAATGGAATTTAGATGTGGATTAGCCACTGAAAAGCGAACAGATGTATCATCGCAACCACACAACAAACCGATCAATTCTTCAGCTGGATACGTCGGCGATAATGACAACACTGTCTGTAACACCGGTTTCCTTATTTACAACCTATCTGCTAGAATGACAAGATGCTTCACCACTTCCTTCTGACAAATAAAAACAAACAGTTAGAACAGGCGGTTGACTATCTCCTCCTAATCCACGTTTTTCAGCCAAAATTGCGTTCCGTTTATTGAGTCTTAGTTGATTCGCTTGCTGACGTCTCACCAATTTACCATGCAAAACACGTGCACACTTACTCAATGCTTTCACATTTTGACGTCCTGAATAACCAAGATTATTACATTACGGATTGCTTGAAAATATCACCGGGTCATGTTTTTTTTTTGAGACTCACATAATAAACGGATCATCCGAATCAAGTTGATTTAGCAAGTAAACTGAGGTACAGTTGATCAATTGTCAATGAAAAATATTCTCAGACATTGAGGAGCTGAAATGTGATATCAATGGCACATTTACGACAGAAAGAACGTTTTGACAGTCGTTTAGGGAAAACTGACAACATTCACAAAACAAATTAAACACTCAGCGAACCTCTAGCTTCTCCATCGATAATGCCTTTTGTTCGATGCCTACCAGTTTTATGTTTCTTGTTGACCTGCTTAAATGCACCTGGACGGTGACCCTCCTCTGAACCCATTAAGCACAACTCTTTATTCACTGACGATACTAGGCTCTGTTCACTACCATCGACTTACGTATTTAATGAATAGCACCACTGTAAGGAAAGGGTCTACGACAAATCCGTCCGCGACGAATTTGTACTACGTCATTTTGAAACGTATAGTCGGTCAGGAAAGTTCACTTCGGTTCGACTTTTGAGCAATGCGTACGCATGTTCCCATTGTGTGCTTATATCAGGAAATGCGGACTGTGTGATATATTTGAAGGGTTTTATCGTTATTTTATGCGTGGCGGCACGTTCGTTATATGAGTAGTGAGTGAACTTATTTGAGTAATTGAAGATTATTGATGATATTCCTACTGGCAGTTGTTTTGGTAGGGTGGCTTGGGGCTTCGAAAGAGCTCTCGTTAACGAGTGAATTGCAAACGAGTGTTATTTTTTCACAACAACGTGGATAATCTTGCGGTTGAATATGTCTGTGAAAGTGATTCGTGCTGCAAGCAGCCGCCTGAACTGTGGATGAGCCTCATTCTTGTAGATTCAGCTTCGTTATTTGCTGGGATAGATACACAGTAAATCTGAGCTCGTGGTAAGCCACAGTGAATGCAGTGCTTAGACTTTGCTTGAGGCTGGTGAAAAAGCCGGCCAATTTTATTGAACACGTTAACAACGAGATTACAACCGTATGATATCTCTGAAGAAAAAGATTGCCGAATGTGGGCATTTATTAGATGAAATAATATTAGGCTGACAATGAGTATTCTTTTCGAATTGTCGATCTATGTCAGTTTATGTCATATCATTCTCCACCTCAACGGATCTGACGATTTGTCTCATAATAGAAGAGGGAACCGGTTATTTTTTCAGGCTGAGCGTTGATCTTTTTTGTGATTTTCGATTCGGTTAGAGATGGCGCTGGAGGGACTGTTTCATATTCCAACCTTCTGCGCCTTGTAATGATTATTGCATGTTGTTGTTGTCGCAGTAGCGTGAATTCCGTTTAGTTGATGAAGTTGTTCATTGTTCTGATCGTTTTTTTTTTGACCGATGAAGTTGTGAATTTGTAAAAGATTTTTCTCAACACGACATTCGCAATGCGGACAATCCAGTTATGCCATGATTTGCATTCGAACGAACGTGCGATTTGCGATTAGCGATCTTTTAAAGAATAAACACACTCTCGAACTAATCACACATAAACAGTCGGTCTTACTGTAAGATGTAAGAAAAGAGGTAGATCAGATGAAACAGAATGGCATCGGTGCTGAGTAGTGCTAGTAGATCGCTGAAAATAAGGGGAAAAAGTTTCGTTGATTTAGAGTGATGTGAAATGGATTACGGTAATAACAGAGGCATGAGCGAATGCGTTCATCATGGAAACGAAACGTGAACAACAGTTCATTCTGTCAAAGTATGATTCATTGTACGTCATCCTTGATAAATGCATAAAATTTTGGGACGAACCACAAAATTCCGGGTTACTTGAAGACACGGGGCGAATTATTGGTTACCGCCATTTTGTGCGCTCATTACAAAACGCGTTCTACGGTATATTATGATTTCCTAGATTCATTCTGAGTAGTTTTTTGATGGCATAGATCACGGATAGCACCCAAATAACATGAGTAATCATTGGATTTAGTTAAGTAATTAAGATTGTTGATTCTATTGGCTGCTATTTTAATGCGATGTTCCATAAAATAAGCCAGCTTTTTCACCAGCCTGTAACAGAATCTTACCCTTGCATCCTGTTGTGGTTCACCACAGAGCTTAATCTAAAGTTTATCCCGTGATACACTTCGGTTAAAATGAAGTCAAATAACCATTCGAGAGACTTTCTGATCAGTACATTTTCACTGGGAAATCTAATCAATTGAGATCAATGAAATTTTATCTCTGTCCTCGTAAGTC